GCTTGCTGTTTTGTGACTGACAATTGAAACGCTAAGTGAATCCTGATCTAAGAGAATCATAAAGTACTCAGGAATCAGCAGCTCATTGCTGTGGAGGAAGGAAGCCCCTCTCAACAGTGTTGCAAAATCATTCCCAACAGCCATCATCCTAACACTCTGTAGTCTTAGTTGCTGGACTCCCTGCCCCCTCTGTTCTACCTCTGAGGATACTTGGGACTAAACCCAGTGGAAAGGGGTGAAGGTGACTGATCACAGCAAATACTCTGTTCTTCAGACTTCGTTTTGCTGGAGTTCTTACCACGTGCCCGGGGGCCATGCGCTAAAATTATCTAAATATAAACAAAATGCTGCTTTCCTGAGTGAGGTCTCATCTGCCAAGATTCCACTTAGATTGCTGATTTATAGGTGAGCAGACTCCCACACAGAAAGTCACCATGGCTCTGTCTTTGGGAGGCAAATGAAACATGAATCCCCAGGCCAGAGAGGAAGAGGCAGCCTGGGTTACAACAGTGTGTTTCTGTCTCTTCTGCCAGTGTGTTCTTTCCACTCCACCCCTCAAACTGCAATATCATTTCTTCCAAGGTTATTTCTATGTATATCACAGCAAACTGGCCACTCTTCTAAGATAATGTGATAGTCCGTATTGAAAAATAAGCTAGTATCTAAAACTGAACACACCTTTCCAAGTACTTTAGCAGGCTGGCTACTTCTCAGCAGCTCCCAATGAGCCTTCAGTTTGTAGCTGCCTGGCTGCCCTGCCTGGAGTTTTAGTTTAGTTTAGTTTCTACCCAAGAACCAAAGAGCCATTTATGAAAATCTGCATTTTTCTTTATATAAACAAATACTCTAAATTTCTACCTGGGGGAAAGGGAGTTTCAAAGATAAACTGCCAAGCTTGAAACTCCATAATGAAAAAGAGACAAAGATGTCTTCAAATCACCAGGTGGCTGAAACTGCCTGCTAAGTGTGAAACGTATGACTCCGCTCATTCCTGGTCAGAAAGATGGCAAGAATCATTGACCTCCAAGATAATATAATAAGGGATAATGTTCTGGGACAGCAAAAGTACACAAAATGGGTTTGACCAAATACTCTTGCAGTCAGTTTCCTCATTTCCAATATCAACCAGAGGGCTCTGCTGACTTGGTTGCTGCTGTAACTTTCCTATTGTACAGAGTATTGAGGCTTCAAGATGGCTTGGTGCTGGAGTGGTCTGGGAAAGGTTGTTCGGTATCACTGGGCTGCTGTAAGTTCAGACACATTTCTCTAGCTCTCAGTTCATCTTGGCAAAACATTTCCAATACAAGTACAATAAATTGTATTGTCTGACTTCGAGGTTTTTATAACTCAGCCCACCACATTTGGGGGCTGGAAGGGGTTGCAAGAACCTATAGGAAGTAAAAGGTGTTATAGTGATATCTGGCAACTTTAGCTAGCTGGAGGACAACTGAAATCATGGGTTTAAAGGGAAGAATTACTAAATTTGGGATGACATTTTATATATGTGTTTGTGTGTGTGTTTTTCTTAATCCAGCATCACTAGATTTGTTCAGATATAGATTTCTGTTTTCTTAGATAATCTTCTCATGACAATATAAACATAGCTCCTATAATAAAAACATTGTTGGCAAATTTTAAATTAACCAAAGGTGAAAAAACTAAGAAGCAAATTAACTTTTAAGTAATGACACTGGGCATTTTTGAAAAACTTATTTCCATTAAATTCAGTCAATTTCTGAGTTTGGTTTCCTTTTAACAAAAAGTTAACACAGAACACAGCAGCTGTCTTAGTTAGAGTTTCTATTGCTGTGAAGAGACACCATGACTGCAGCAACTCTTATAAAGGAAAAAAATTCAATTGGGGTGACTTATATTTTCAGAGGTTTAGTCCATTATCGTCATGGTGTGACATGGTAGAGTGCAGGCAAACATGGTGCTGGAGAAAGTAGCTGAGTGTTCTACATTTTGACTTGCAAGCAACAGGAAGTGGTCTGTGCCACTGGGCGTGGCTTGAGCAAATATGAGACCTCAAAGCCCACCTCCACAGTGTCATACTTCCTCCAACAAGGCCACAGCTACTCATACAAAGCCACACCTCCTAATAATGCCACTCCCTTTGGGGGCCATTTTCTTCCAAACCACCACAGCAGCCAAATGAAAAACTCAATTAAAATCATGCAAAACCAGTTAGACATGAAAAGAAACTATTTAAACATGATTAACAATCCCCTAAATTTTCATGAAAGGGACTTAGAGCAAGAGGAAGATAACATAAAGTCTCTTTATTGGTGGTATTTGTAATTTAACTTTCATTCACCTAATAAATATTTACTGATGAGCTATTAAGTGTTATATACTATACTGTATGCTAAGTATAATGAAGATGATGTTGATTTTTTGCTTCCAAAAACATTTCACACTTAGGAAAATGCATAGACATTTCCTAATCAACTGTTTGCTCCTTTGTTTTTAGTTTTCTTTGAGATGAGGTTTCACTGTATAACTCAGGCTAGTCTGGAATTCCCTGCATAGCTCAGGCCTTGAACTCCCAAGTGTTGAGATTATAGGTATGTCTCAGTTGATTCTTAGAGGCTCATCTTTCAGTGATTTCTTCAATTGGTACTGCAGACATGCAAACTGACATGTCTCCTGACTTCTAATATGAAAATCAGTCATGTATCTTTGCTTTACTCTGGGGCTTTCTATCAGCTGTTCCACCTTTACTTCAATGTCAACAAGTCCAGAATCAGCTCATCTTCCTCAAATACAACTTCATTCCTTTTTCTTTTTGTACCTCTATGTCTGTACATCAGCCAATCCCATCAGTCAGAAGGCAGAGGCAGGAGGATCTCTGTAAGCTCAAGGCCAGCCTGGTCTACATAGAGAGTACAAGGCCACCCAGAGCTACAGAGTGGAGACCTTGTCTTTAAAAATAATCATTTCAGCCTTTTCTCACCCTCTTTGTTGTATGTGTTACTGGTAGTGAAATACATTTCACTGGTCCCTTCTGAGCACAGCTGTGATCATGTCATTCCCCTACCTCAAGTCTTGATGCTCCCCACTGAATCCTGGATCAATTCCAAATCCTTCACTCTGGGTCTACTGACATCTTAAAACTCTTACCTTGTCATTAAAATTTGTAACTTCTTCCTTGCTGTGTATCCATGTCCTTTCCTGGAAGGTTTATGTTTAACAAGCCCAGGAGGCAGGTGCTGAGCATCTTGGCTCTGCATGTATGTTTTTTCCTATGAATTTTTTCCAAACAGTTTACCAGTCACACACCAAGCAGCTCTACTACTTAATTCTCTCCCTTTCTATGGACTGTCTCTGGAACAAAACTGAACATGGAATATATCATAATGCCATTCTGTCTCACACAGTAATAGATATGTAAAAGAAGTCCAAAGGACTTTAGGAATAAAGGAACAACAAATAGGAACAACAACAACAAAACCCTCACTAGCAACATCTTTGGTCTAGTCTTGTAAGCCTTGCTTCAATTGCTGTAAAAAGGTGAAAGGTCATAACTGGTCTGTGCATAACTGTCCCTTACCCCTAATTATAGAGATTTAAAGTGCTGGTAAAGTACCTGTGTGTGCTTTTCACAAATTTAATGTCAATATTTGCAACAATAAAATGTCACAAAGAGTTTAAAACTAACACCTTTAATGCCAGAATTCAAGAAACAGAGGAAATCAGATTTCTGTGAATTTGAGGCTAGCCTGGTCTATATAGTGAGTTCCTCCTGACAGTCAGGGCTACATAGTGAGACCCTGTCTAAAAAAATAAAATATAATAACTGCAGACAAAACAGAGGGTAAATCTCTTTTTAAATATTTATGTATTTATGTGTCTTATGTATATGAGTGCTCTACTTGTATGTATGTCTGCATGTCAGAAGAGGGCATTAGACTCCATTATGGATGGTTATGATTCACCATGTGGTTGCTGGGAATTGAACTCAGGACCTCTGAAAGAGCGGCAAATACTCCTAACCACTGAGCCATCTCTCCAGTACTGACAAATATCTTTTATCCAACAGGGGTGTTTTGGATTTCAGATTTTTGAATATTTACATTTATTTGCTGAGGTATCTTAGATGACAGACTCCAGACTATGTACAAGTTCATTTACACTTCATGTACTCCTTAGATCCACACTCCGAAGGCAATTTTATACAGTATCTTTGGTGCACCTGTCTTTTAACAGCAACCTGTCACATGAGGCTATTTGTGTTGTCATGTTAGCTCTCAGATTTATGGATTAGAGATGAACAATCATAGAATTTAAAAAAAAATAAAGTTCTATAGCATACTTTGGATGTCAGGTTGGTAAATTTAAAAATAAATTCTAAGGGCTGGAAAGATAGTTCAGTTGTTAAAGTGCTTGCATGTTGAACATGAAGACCTAAGTATAGATTTCCAGAACTAATATAAAAAAGCAGAGTATGTTAGTGTACACCTATAATCTCAGCACTGGACAGGAGAATCCCTGGGCCTCATTGGCCAGACAGTCTATCCTATTCAGTGAGTCCCAAGCCAAGGAAAGATCCTGTCTCAAAAACAGGGTGCCAATGTTGAGAGCGCTTGGCGGTAAAGGTACTTGTCCCACAAGCCTGGTGACCTGTCTAAGCTCTAGAACCACACAAACATAGGAGAGAACCAACTGCCCCAAAGTGTCCCCTGACTTTCACACACCTCCTCATTACGCATATACTCACACTACTAATAAGTAAAAACTAACAACAACAAGAATCAAGGTGAGTGGTTCCTGAACAAGGACATCTGAGGCTGACCTTTCACATTCATCCTCCTAACACACATAATTCTTAGTGAAGACTGCTGATAACAATATGCTTATTTATTAGAAGCAAAGATGTTTTATTAATTTAATTTCAATTGCATTATAATTTTATAACTTGAGTTTTTACTAGAAATTGTGTTAAGCACTAGATAGTCTGTGCTCTTAAGAAGAGTACTATAGTAAGACCAGGCACATACCATCACATCAAAGCTCGATGAGGCAACTCAGGAGGAGGAAGAAGGTTCCAAAATCAGTCAGAAGAGGCGGTAACTGCCCTCACTTCAGTCTCTTATTGTAGCATATTATGCCATATTTGGTTGACGTCCCTGGGAGGCTTGATCTTTTCTGAGGGCAGACAGAGAGGTGTGTACTTGGAGAAGAAGGGACGGGGGATTGGGAGTGGAAACTGCAGTCCAGGTGTAATTCGTAAGAGAACAACAACAACAAAAAAAAAGTGTACTGAAGAAAATTAACCCTTATACAACAATAACAGGATATAATTGGTCCTGCCCAGTTAAGCACTTGATGCTGTTGAAAGTCTGGTGTCAGAACCATTGGAGGTAACCACATTACAGTACAGGGAAAAAAGTCAACCACAAAGCTTATAACACTTTCTTCAGTGGGGACAGAATACCACCTCAGAGTTTTAGAGAGGTACGGAAGGCAGCTCTGCAGTGAAGAGAAATGAGATGATGGACCGTTCATTTAGGGACACATTTGCAAACAGTAAAAATTAAGGAAAAATTTTCCACTCAGTAGCATCTGGCACCTGAGAATAGAAGTTTAAGAAAATATATATTCTGAGATGCTTATTCACTGTTGCTATTGCTTTCATTCCAAAGTCTGGTAGATAAAACAGTGGCATTACAAAATATGAATATGTCTTAGCAAGATAATTGTGAACCCACCACACATCATGTTAGTTTAGTTTAGCACATTGCTAGCTGCCATTATCTCAGGCCAATTGTTCTTCAGTAAGATGTGAATCTTCAGGGCCTGAATGGCTGCCTACTGTTCGCAAAAGGCAATTTACTCTGGTTATGTGCAGTAGGGTGCCAAGACAGGCCTCCTACATCTTCATGCTCTTCATGATGGTTTATAACAATAATTAACATGAAGAATGAACTTAGTATTTTTCCTGAGTGAAGATTACTAATGAGATACTGAAGAGTTGCAGGGAATCTTTGAACTCATGTCACATAGATAAACAGTTAAGCAAATAAGTTACTGTTTTGGGTTAGTTTTATTTTTGTTTTTGGTGTTTAGGACTGGACCTCATGTATGCTAAGCATGGACTCTATCATTGAACAACATATACAGCCCAAGTCCTTAAGTAAACTGTGTGTGTTTCTTATTGTATAGTATTATTTTACTATGAGGTCTGAAGTTGAAAAATAAATGCAGATATATGTAAATAATCTTAACAAGCAGCTAGCTCTTGTCACAGACTGAGTCCTAGGAAGTGAGGCACTCAGATACATTCCTATTAATCTTTAATTACTGGAAGCTCACTATCATCATGAAACAAATAGATAGCAGTACCTCAAAAGACAAAGCCCACAAAACCAAAAAGAAACAAAAGGCAAACTATGTGCTTTGCTTTAATTTGTAATAATCAAGGAGAGACTCAGGAATAAATAAAGCACATTCCTCCAAATCAATAAAGAAAGAAATTTCTAAGACATTTTTCTAACATCTTCAGAAAAAATCAGTATGTTCTAGATAACAGTTCTTGTTGTAAACACAATCTCTATGCATAATGTGTTGGCGTCCATGAAAATTCCACCCTTTTCAGAAATGACTTGGACTTGACAGTAAGAAGAGTCAGGCTGTGGTGTGTAGGAGATTATGGATGTGAGCTGCATGGAGTGAACTCACTCACTTCTCTCTGATTTTATTTCTTTTGTGTGGAAAAAGTGGAAGTCATGATTACGGTAATACTCTAAGAAGAATCCTGTAACAGTTTCTTTATAAATCTATTCTTACTTGATTCTGGAAATAAACACCCTCCTATAAAACAGATAAAGAAACTGAGGTCTGAAGTCTTTGAGAACTAACCAGTTTACTGAAGAGACCGCAGCTGACTCCACAGGCACTGCTTTTTTTCTGGCATTATATAGTATGTTCTAGAAGTCAGTTAATAAACAGCTGAGTGAGGTGTATCTACAGTAGCAGGAAAGGCCGTTCTCACTGATTGTAATTATACTACTTCCCAATAACAATCCTTACAGTTCCAGTGAAAGTGACAAAAACAGATTTTGTGGTTTATTAGTTATGCCAAATTTCTCTGGTTATTTATTGTAGAAAACTAACAAAACTAGACCTTGTAATTGTATTTAAACTTCGGTGGTCATTCTGGACACAGAAGTGTTTCAGTTTCATGACACTCTCTGGAAGAAATTCAATAACACATTGTTAATACTTGACTCTTACAAAATGATTTCAAAGCTCCATGGGAATTTAGATTTGCACAAGTTATTAGGATGTGACCTTTCCCTTAGATTTCTTATTTTAGGATCAAGTTAACATGGTATTTCCCCAGTGGGAGCTGCTGTACTTCCTTCGCAGATAAGCAAAAGCAATCACAAATTATGGTGAGTAAACTCAGGGAAATATATATTTCTGTGATGCAGATGAAAATGAAATCTTAAAAGGAGACCACACTACGTGTTCTTGGATTTGAAAGGAAAAACCATGTGGCTTGCTAACAAAAGAAAACAAAACTTATGCCATTATGGCATTTCCCTGAAATTTATTCCTGATTGTTTCATGTCCTGGCTAAGTCTTGTGACTTTTAAAGATTATTAAAGATGTTAACGTCACTTAATTTCCTATGTCCTGCCTACTGGGAGTATAAAAGGTTAAAAACATCAAATAATTTCAATGATTTCAGATCATAGGAACTAAAGAACAAGGAGTTCATAAGCTAAAAATACTGAAATAAAATGAAAGAGATCACAGCTACTCTCCCTTTGCCCCATAGAGTAATTGTATGTGATTTATGAGCGTTATTTGCACATACAAATAACTGGCAGGAACCAAAAGACAGGCACTCACAGGTATGTGCATACATATACACTCACTTTTATTTTTTAAAGACAAATAAAACTGGGGACTGAGGATAATAAAGAGACTTAACCTCTGAAAGAGTTGACAATAAAAAGGAATTTCATCCACAACTTATTATTTTTCCTATTCATTTTAACTGTAAATGTTTCTATCTTAAATTTTTCTCTTATGCTTTCTTTACCCTAAAACTATTCTTCCAAGCATTTAAATTATAAATTTAAAATAGTTAAGTTTTTTCAAGATACTAAGACCATTATCCCCTTAAAATAGTTAATATTTTTTAAAGATTTATTTTATGTATAAGAGTGTTTTGTCTGCGTGTATGTATCTGTACTGTGTGTATGCCTGCTGCCTAAGGAGGCCAGAAAGGGCACTGGATCCCCTGGAACTAGAGTTACAGACTACGTGAGGAACCATGTGAGTGCTGGGAATTGAACTCTTAATCACTGAGCCATTTCTCTAGCCCTCTATAATAATTTTTCAATTGATGAAAAATTATTTTTGAGACATGATCTCCCTATGTAGCTCAAGCTAGCCTTGAACTTGAGATCTCACTGTCTCAACCTCCTCAGCTGGGATTACAGGTCTGTACTATCATGCGTTTCTAAATATGTATATAATTTCGAAGTTGGGTTGTGTTCTACTTGGTTAGATCTACATTTTCAGAAGCTGTTATTCCTTCCTCTGAGTTATCAGTACATGTAATAGTATTACATTGTATCTAAATTTGCATAGCCTCAGAAAATATTCTGCAATAAATAATCCTTGCCATAAAGTCAATTATTGGTTTTATTGGTTGGTAGGGTTTGTTTGTTTTTTTGACTGCTAGGGATGGGGCTCAAGTGTTTGTGCATACTAGGAGGCCATAACCCCAACCTTGCTTTTTTGTTGTTTTAGAAAAACAACAACAAAATTGCTTGTGTTATTTTATTCCTAAATAACTGGCAAACTCTGTATTCCCCACATCCTTCCATTATCACATAATCACAAATGACACAGGTAAATGCTAATTCATTTAAACAAGCTGGTTACAGTGAGACATAGGCCTTTAATCCTAGCATTTGGGAAGTGGAGAACAAAGAAAAAGAAGTCATTTGAACTTGTTCATTTGTTACTAATATACCCTAATGAAGCAAAAATGATATAATTACCCAAGCACTTCCGCTAGCAATTCCTCTTAACTGAAGAAGACAACTTTGAAAATTAAATGAAATACATGCCAGGAAATATGATATATAATAGCATAAGCAGTTTATTTCATCCAAAAATCAAATCAAAATGAACAAACAAACAAAAAACAGAACATCACCTAAAACCGGGCTTAGTAAATTGGGTAATGCCACTACAGTCACTACAATGGAAAGCCTTGTTGTTGTAACAACACATCTAAAAGACAGGCAGAAACTAGAGAAAATGAAAATGTCCTAGCTGCGGAGTAAGATGAGACAAGTGGGATATGCAAGTGGGAAAACGTATTCCTGTTATCAAGAACTAGAAAAATTATGGGAGGACGTTTTGTGTGATGTGTGATATTTTTATTTAAAACATATTTTCATAGCTTTTTAAGAATGAAAGTGTTTAGAATGAAGTGATAAGAGAGACAAAGGGGCCAAATGAATATGATAGAGGTACATTGTATATATGTATGAAAACTTTGTGATGAAACTCTTAAAGAGAGAGGCTGAGAGTGAGACAGACAGACAGATGGATGGATGGATGGTAGATGGAGGTGTATATGACCTGAAATCCCAGTACTTTGGAGGTGAGGCAAGAAGATTGCCACAATTGTAAAGACAGCCTGAGCTATATAGTGAGTTCCAGATCAGTCTAGAGTACATGAAATCCTGTCTCACAAAACAACAAAAGGGCTAGAGATATGGTTCAATGGTTATGACCATTTGCTGCTCTTCCAGAACACTCGAGTTCAGTCCTAGCATCCACATCAAACAGCTCACAACTGTCTGTAACTCCAGCTCCAGGGGATCCAATACCTCTGGCTACCACATGCATATGCATACCTATGCATAATTAAATATACTAAAAATGAATCTTAAGAAAAACACAAACTACAAAAAAGAAAAGAAAGAAAAAGTAAAGAAATGACTGAGGGCCTTGATGGAAGCTCCATAGTAAAGTGTCTGGAAAGCCCAGGGTCTAATTCCCAGCAAATCAAATTAAAAAAAAAAAAACAAGAAAAATAAAAGTAAAGCAAAACAAACCCATTAGCTAAAATTCAAAGCAATTTATGTTAGATTTACATGTTTCTGTGAACATACCAATTACCTACCCTTAAGGTTTCAATGCCATGTATGATCTGATTTCAACTGAAGCTCTGAATTCAGGCACAGCAGGTCAGCTAGGCAGAGCTGTGCACAGAGAGCACATCCCAATACTGCCTATGTCAGATTCAAAAATCGATAAAGATCATTGTGTCCTATTAGTGATTTATAGAGTTGTGATTCGCTCTACCCAGTACGACTATAGTTGAATTCCTTTGTCATAAAATTGCTGGGACCAAACAATTTTGCGTATCTTTTATCTACACTCTTTTCTCCCTTACCATCCGTTAACGTATTTCTTATGGGGACTTTTCTTCTTTGTATAGATTGATCTACCTTAGTTGTAAATTAACCCACAAGCAGCTCATTGGGTTTTTCTTTGAACTTCACAATTTATGGCCACAGGGGCCATTTAAACTGCCAGTTGGCAAATTATGTTCAGAAAACCATTCCTAGGTTTAAAAACAAAATCTTCCCAAGGGTAAGCCACCCACTATAGCAAAGAAATGGAATGTAACTACTGAAGACTTCTGTAATTTCTTTTTTTCAGTTATAATAACACACACATAAGTTTACCATTTTAGCCGTTTTGACATGTTTTAAGTCACTTGAAATGTCAGTTCCGTGGTGTTAAGTAGGCATCACCAGAACTTTCTCAGCTTGCAAAACAGAGCCATTCCACTTTCATGCCTGACTCCTGGCCCTCAGCCTCAGTAGTCCTCACTCCATTTTCTATGAATCTAACAGCATTAGGTACATCTTCTGCCTGTCTTCCTTTCACCTAAAACTGTTAACTGATGTAGTTTACTAAAGTTGGTTAAACATGCAAGTGAGTTAAAAAAAATAGAGGGTCAAATTCCAAATACTTAGGATTTAATTTTCATGCCAAATAACTGAATTTAGATCACTCAGATGTCAAAGTGAGTATTTGCCTCATTTTGAAGGATTTGGTCTCTCTGTTTTAAATCACTTTAGACTTTCCTAAGGTTAAATCAATTTCCAAAGCAAACTTAATGCTGTTATTGATTTCCTTTAAGTATATAAGCTCGCTCAGTATTATTTGTACTCCATGTGCTCCCTAACATTCCTTCCAATAACAAGTCGTCTTCTCCCACCTCTCTGCTCAAATATAAGCTTCTAGGTAATCAAGAATGGGGATCAATAACTTATGGATGAGACTTAAAAAATAAAAACAAAACTTGTGGGGCTCTTGTTTGAAGTCCTATGCCATCCGAAGCTGGGTTAAACAATTTGCTTAAAGTTAGTTCCCAGGGAAGCACAGATTTGTGAAGTTGGGATCTGTTTTCCCCCTGTCCCCAGACATTGGTCCTGGGTAACACACATACATGCTGAGTAGATTTTCTAGCCCTCTTCTGTCCTGGAAATTCCTGTGGGGTTTCCAAAGAAGATCCAAGTAACTGGCTGCTATCTGAAGTAGACTGAGCAGAGACAGGTTTGTAGAGAAAGGGGTGGGAATTGATAAGAGGAGAGTAAAGGGTAAGGGGGCAGCTCAGTGGGAGAAAGCTGCTTAGCTTGCATTTATCAGGGTTTAGCCTCTAGCACAAAACAAAACAAACCCACAAGCCACTCTAGAGAAAGGGGATTGTACCTGCTTCATTCCTCTGGCTTGTTTATGAATTACAAACAGAAATTCTACTTGTATCAATTAGTGAAAACCAAGGAGAATGACTATTAGGTTATTTCCATGTGACTTTTAAAAACTTCATATTTAATGGTTAGGGATGTAACAGTGGTAGAATGATCACCTAGAACATGCAAGGCCCCGAATTTGATCCCCAGAACGGTAATAAATTAAATAAATAATAAATAAAGCCACAACCAAAACATTTTACAACTGGGAAATGATTTAGCTTAAGGCTTACAGAAAATATAAAATGGATGACAGATCTTCATCTTGTGGATCATTCCCCACAGTTGACATATTCAAACCCTAGCACAATTATCAAAAATAAACTGACACATGATATTTGCCTCTTTGTTTGGATTTCTCCAGTTTCTCACTAGTATTAGCCCTGCTTCAGTGGCAGGATCCACCACATTCTCTTGCCATGTCTCTTTGCCTTCTTTTAGGTGTGTGACAGTTTCCATTTGGGCCTGCCTTTTATGCCTCTGATGCTGTTGAGGCATGTTGCTCAGGTACTCTTTTTTTGTTTTGTTTTTTTTTGTTGTTTTTTTTGTTTGTTTGTTTTTTGAGACAGGGTTTCTCTGTGTAGCTTTGGAGCCTATCCTGGCACTGGCTCTGGAGACCAGGCTGGCCTCGAACTCGCATAGATCCGCCTGCCTTTGCCTCCTGAGTTGCTGGGATTAAAGGCGTGCACCACCAACGCCCGCCCGGTATCCTTAAACTGTTTCTATTCAGAGTATGCCTAATGTTTTCTCATGATTCAGCTGAGGTCATGAAGTTTTGGGAAGAATACCAAACATGTTCTTTGTCCCTCTCAGGACATCTCACAGGGCAGACAGCTCACTGTCTTACTACTGTTGGTACTGACCTTGGCTGCTTAGCTATGGTTGGTGTCTGCCAGGACTCTGCACTGTAAGTCTCTTCATTCCCGTTTGTAATTAACACACATGGGGGAAATACTTGGAAGCTGTGCAAATATCCTGTTTCTCCTAAGTTCCCACCCACCTTCTAAAGTCAGTGCTTATTGGTGGATCCAGCCTGTCGCAAAGGTTACTGTGGTTCTCTGATAATGACTTTCTATTGCCCTCACTTCTTACTAAGTTCTGTAACGAAGAGTCATCATTTTCTCCACCTCCATTTATTCATTTACTCTGTAATTATTTACACCAGTCCGATCTCTTGCATATATTCACTTGGGGAGCAATAATGCAGTTCCACAGTTAGTGGTTTTATTGCTTAAATTGTCTCAGCTTTGGCTGCTGGGCTCTCTCCACCCACCCTGACTCTTCGGGAGCACACCCTGGCTTCTGGCACCACATGGGCCTCCAGGCTTGCTTATGCTGGACTGCTTTTGCTTCAACTTTGGAATCAACCTCTTCTACAAAGAGCTTCAGTTTCTTTTGGGAGAAAATGGCATTTGGACACCACTGCTTGATTTGCTACTGAGGAGACGCTTATCTAGGTCCCTCAGGGGACAGAGCTGAGGTACATACACTGACACATATGCACACACAGTGTGCATTGATTTGTGATTGTATTTATCTGACAGTTCTTTTTTCAATGCATCTTCAGGTTTCAGCAAAATGGGCTATCCTGTGACTTTCCTTGTTAACTATAATCAATAATCCTAAAACTATACAAAGTTTCAGTGTAACTTACATCTCCAGGCAAAAGGGCCCACTTGGGGACTAAGAACTGCCTTAGCACACTAGGATCAGGTCTTGACAGAATGATAGATTTCCCAGAACTTTATCCACGGGCCCTGAAGCCATACTCCATGCTAGTCAGTACCAAGGAGGAAGTACCTTCATGTACTGTGCTAAACTCAGAAATTCTCCTTGAAAAGAACATGTTTGGTATATATCAGTCTACTTCTGTCTGACAGAGGTTAGGGCTGCATGGCCTATGAGGAACAGACAAGATATACTTATCTAACTTTAATCATAAGTATAAGAATCTAAAATATTTCACTTGGAGTCATTACATGGGTATAAAAATAAGAGTTTAGAGGGTTATTTTTTAAAGATTTGTGTTATACCCAACTTCTAGGACATTTTCCTATCTTTGTTTTGTCTTAGACAAGTATGCTATTATGAACCCTGACTAACAGGCAAATTCTGTAGGAGAAAGTGTTGAGGCAGTAAAAAAATAAAAGTTTTTAAATATAAGTATAATATAATAAATTCTGATGTACATACCAGTAAAGGGTGGTCCTTGTTTAAAAAAATGTCCTTCTTGGATATCAGTGGTTCACAGTTAGCTTCGTTCAAATCTGAATAATTAAAAAGAAATAATATTTTCAAATTTCGTTGGCACTCAAAATTCTCAGATAACACAGGCTGCCAAAATGCAAATAGACATTAATTTTCATGCCAGCATTTGTTTTTTTCTGTGCATATAAAGCTTCATATTCTTTAGAAATAACCAACATACCATCAAATGACTCATTGTGCATCCTGCAGGATGAAAGAAACTCTCAGAATGTTTTCACAAAAGAGACAGATGGGCACTTGATCTGCTTCTCTCGATTTATCGGTCAGATCACTGACACAATGCAAACCTTTTTTTATTGCATCCATTTAACACATCAAATTAATAATAACTATATCACCATTCAGACTTAGGAAAAAAAGATCTTTAAAGGGATTAGCAACCTTAAAAGACAGGGGGCTGAGGGCTCTGGGTATGGCTTACTGATAGAAGCCACCAGGAGGCCTGAAGTCCATACCAGTTCTGGGGTGGGGAGTGGTGCAAGTTTGATACTAGTTATTACATTGCAAAGTTGATATTTACTTAAATTTGATTTTATCTGGAAGAGACATAGTTGAGAAGTCTAAGGTCACAGTAGAATGCCCAGCCTGTTTCGGTATGGGAGACTCAGTGCACACCATGCTAAGCAGACTTTTCAGAGGAAGGTCCAGGGAGCAGATTGTCTAAATAGTGATTCACATCCTCATCTCTTAAAATGCTCAGGGAGCCCAGAATAGGACATTCAGTAAAGACAAAACAGCATCCGGTGCCAAGAGCCTTATCATAAGGGCCGGAGAGCCCTGGCATGCAGACCCAACCTTCTGCACACTCTGACACACATAAGACTCCAACGCTTGCTTTTCTGACTTCTTGGAACTGACAAAAACTGTTCTGTTATGTGATGCATGGTATAAAAATATTATGTCATGAAGATAAACAGTTTTCCCATTCTGTTATTTCTAACATAAAGGAACATGAACTACAGTCAGCGAGCTTTGCTTGTTGGTGTTCCCCATAGTACTACTGCTTGGAAATGGGAGAGTTGTAACAGCGTCTCAGTATCAATAGTAAACTGCAGTTTTGTTCTCAGAGCTGGACAGTCTTCTACAGGAAGAGCTCATTTGTCAGCACTTTCTGCCTGTATGCTTTGTCTTTTGGCTGTGACTTCTGACCTCCACCACAATGATTTGCATAAACACTCTAATTTGCTAGTCAACAGTGAAGGCAGCATCCACACAGAAACTGCTTTTTAGGTATAGCATGTTTAACACATGGAAAACTGCTTCATCTATAGGAAATCACTACTCTGACTTTTAAAAAAGCATGTAAGGTAAGATTTAAAAAAAGATTCAAAAATATGAAAATGAAAGAAAAATATCAATAAAGAAATCAATTAATAAAACCACTACCTCAAAAAAAAGTTATTCTAGGCTAAGAGTAAGCAGTGTTAATCTCCTTGACACTTGCCTCCCAGTCCTCCTTAATTATGTATGATTTCATTAAGAATTAGACAAAAAGAAAGTAGTATTTATCTATTATTTTAAAAAATGTTCACACATGCATTTTGATCATATTCCTTCCCATCTTTTATATCCTCCCAGATCCTTTTCCCATCCAACTTCATGTTATTTCTCTCTCTTAAAAATAAATATATTAAAAATGTGGAAACTACTATCTAGTCAAGGTTTATGACTCCAAGAGTTAGATCAAACCTAAAACAAGGCCAGCTGCTACTGCCTCTGGAGACAGGCAGTATTCCAACCATCACCCACAGCCCACCCCACTCTCTGGATCCACTCAGACTGCTCTGTGTCTACAAGGTGTAGTCTACAGACGCAGGACAGAGGCAATCAGAGGACAGTGTATCTATTTCTCTCACATTCTATGTTTATGTTATGCTCATTGGATGCTCAATCCATTTAAATACCCAAAACCTGGAGACTCAGGCTGTGAAGAAACAGATCATGGCTTTACACTTACACAGAACTCACATAATAGGCCAGACTATTTCGGCCTACTCATTCACCTGCTTCATATAAGAAACCCTGAACTAGGTCTTTCTACTAGAATCACAGTTGATAATAACACAGACCAAGAGCGATTTATTCAGATTAATTTGCCTGAAATGGAATGAACAGTGAAAACTGACCCAAGAGATAGGGAAAAAAAGGAAATCATTGAAAACTTATCCAATATGTGATAGGGTTTTAGTTGGGGGGTGGTAGGGGAGGCCAGGAGGGAGAAGGGAACTGGGATTGTCATGTAAAACAATCTTGTTTCTAATTCAAATAAAAAGATCTGAAAGAAAAAAAGAAAACTTATCCAAGAATTATATACCTAAAGGGTTGCAGGTGTAATTCAATGCTAGACCAGTTGCCTATGGCCCACAGCCCCTGGGTTCAATGTCCATCACTGATGAAAAAGCAAAACAAAACCCTCTCCCAACAAGTAATTTTACAGATGTTCTTTTTTTTTTTGGTTTTTTATTTTTTATTTTTTTATATATTTGAATTACAAACAAGATTGAATTATATGACAATGACAGTTCCCTTCTCCCTCCCTTCCTCCTCTACCACCCCCCCAACTAAAATCCTACCTATCATATGTCCTTTCTTCTAATCTACACCTGACTCAAAATTTCTGCTTTCTCATGACCTCTGCATCCTTCCTTTTCTTCCCTTCTCACTCTCATAGCTTCCTCCCCCCTCTTCCCATGTTCTCAATTTGCTACAGATGTTCTTTTAAAATGTTGCAGAAAGAGATATCATATTTAAACTATGGGTAAAAACTTTTACATTGACAATATTAATTTTTAAGTACCATATTATTGATATAAAAGTTTGACACTTCCCCCTCCCCACAAAAGAAACATCAAAAAGGGGCTATTGAAATTGCTGAGTGGGTAAGGAAGCTTTCTGGCAAGTCTGATGATCTGTGTTCAATTCCTAGGATCCCCATGGTGGAAGGAGAGAACCAGCTTCCACAAGTTGTCCTCTAATCTTCACCATGTGCACACACCACACACATATATATATCCACTGAAAATATCAGTCCTATTTATTAATATTAATTTAAAATGATAAGCAAAGCTAATTAATTTAATCACATGCTAAAAATAAACTATTGTGATCAAATTGAATTTGTTTCAGAAAAGTAAAGGCAATTTAATACCCAAAATTGATCACTTCATGTAATGGTATTAGCCCAGTTTTAAAACAAGTCATATGATTATCTCAAAACATACAAAAACAGTACTCTATATAATTCTACCTTTGGGCTCGGGATGTATCTCTGAGGTACAACACTTGCCTAGCATGCTCAAGGAACTGGGTCCAAGACCTCAGCACCAATAAGTCTAATTCAACATTTTTTTCTTGACAATATCTATTTGAAACACTAAGAAAGTTTAATAAGAATCTGTCTCAAACTTACAACTAATATGGTCTTAATTGTGAAATATGACAGTGGCATTTCCTGAGGTGTAGTCTATAAATAACCAGTTCCTTTTCCAACAGTGAAGGTTTCACTAGAAAATAAATGTGTTTGTAGTGTGTTTTGGAGATTTATAAAAGACATTAAGATATAACCACTCTGTAAGCTTCACAACTAAATGACAACATCATCAATAGCAACCCACTTAGCTTTATTATTCCTAACTTCACCGGAACACTGAATTAATCACTTGCCATTTTTCTGTTCCTCCATACATTGCACTGGCGTGATATTACACAGCTTCCTACCGAAACTAATTACAAGCTGCCTCATTGTTAACCCATTAGACTTCTTGATTTCTACTCTGTTTTCCAATGGTGTGCTAGAAAATGCTTAGTTAGCCCTCCTGGCATGATGAGAATGCTCTGGCTTGAGGATTTGTGAGTTTCTGTGGCATAAGATATGGGTTTCAAGCTTCCAACATGATGTCTCTGAGGCAAAATGTTCACCACACAGACACAATATGATGACAAATCTCAGCAATGTAAGAGCTAGGAAATATATTTTTTGTGTATCTGTTAAGTTTGTTTAACATAACCTGTCAAATTGTAAGTTCACATAATTTAACACCTAATAAGTCTCTATAACAATTGGTTTAGTAAAACTCTGAGATTGTACAATTAATTTCTACAAGCTTATCTGAGTGGGCTCCTGAATACTGCTGCTTCATCCTGCCTTCCATCTACTTCTTAGTCTCTTGCACCTGTTCTTTCTGAGATTTTCCTATTATTACATTTTAAAAGTTTTTTGGCTTTCTTCTTTCTACTCTTGAGCATGGCACACCTTCTTTTGCATAGTTTCTAAGCTCCTCTCAAGAACTCTAAGTTTGAGCTGTACACGGTGGGCAGGTCTATAATCCTAGCATTTACAAAGCTGAGTCAGGATGACCATGAGTTCTAGGCCAGCCTAAGCTACACAGCAAACTCTTGCTTCAAAAACAAAAAACAAACCCAACCCAAATTAAACAAGAAAGAGTTCTAAATCTCTTTTGCTGCTATGTCTGGAACACCCATGTCTTGCTTCCAGTATCTCAAATTCAACACAAGCCAAGCAAATCTATCTTCTCCCTCTGAAATATCAAAGAAGCACAGTTAAGGAATATGGAATGGAGGGTGTACCTCAGCCTGGGGAGCATGGGTAAGCTGAGGCAGGAGATGAGGAGGACTAAAAGATAATACAACTGATCACTTAATGGGAATACTTTCTATTCTTCAAAACATTCAAGACAATTCCAGTATTTTACCTGGGTCTTTGAAAAATCCAGTGAACAGGATTCAGTTCACACCCACAAGTAGCCCTTTCTGCTCTCCCCTTCAATTCTTCTCACATTCTTTGCAGTCTCCCCTAAAACCCTGCTACCTAACCACTTCCTCCACTCCCAGCTTAGCAAAGGTCTCTCCTTTTCTTCTTTGAGCCTTGACTTATCACATCAACTTACAGTTTCACCAGCACCTCATGGCCAGCACCTTTTTACTAATACCTTATCACAAAAGTCTAGGAATTGACATGGGAAGATTGTATGTGTGTGCA